CTCTTGATTGCATTTTATTTCATTAAAGTACAGATGCTAAATAATTATGTCACTTAGGCAAAAGGTTCTTATTTTTAACATATACAAAATAGTATAATTCATTCGCTTGCTCGGTTATTCTCAGAATATCCCGATACGCAATTATTAATTATCAAACAATATATTTGAACGATTTCACACGAACATTCTCAGGTCACGTTAAATCATTTGCTAAATATGCGTAGCTACATGAATCTCATTTTCAGCGATAAGTCGACCAGATTTGATAATTGCGGACATCGCGATGCGGGTCACGAACGAAGGCTGCCGCTTTGAAACATGACACATTTCAATGGGAACGAGTCATTCGTTGTCTAACAGCAGGCGGAAGCTGCGTTTTCAAAATTCGCGGCACACGTATTCGATTTCCAGCGGTCGTCGTTGTTCCCCGATAAAATCTGACCTAGTTGCGGTTCACTGAACTCGGTACGCGAACCTGTAATCTCTATTGTCGCGTTCCCTGACGATAATAACCCGATATTATCCGATATTCGTCACCCTTCCTGTTAATTTTCTAAACCAACTCGCTACTTCGATGTTTAAAGATACTAGGAAAATTCTGTGCGTCACGACGCGTTCTGTGCGTTCTGATCATGCAGATAATAGAAGAATTGACAATCTTTTTATGTCATCTGTTTCCAGAAAACGTGACACTGTGTACTTCCATTCACGACGAAGTCCTTTAAATTGCTGCGAGCTTCAGAGGCGAGTACTGATTAGATAATATCAATAAATGTCCCAATTTCTTTTCACCTAAGCATGATTTTGTTGTCAACTATACATAAAAAACGATAAATCCAAATTTATAATGAAAATGAATGAAGCAAAGATTCATTCACAATTAATTCATCCTGCGAAATGAAGCTACCTATTTCAATGTCTGTGTTTCTACTCAGTCACAGCTCGGTGTTGTTATTTCTAGTCATTAAGAAAATCATGTCTCTACTTTTACTCAAATCAAGATTAAACATTGCGCCAAGTCATTCAGATAAAATGATTAAATTCGGCAGCATGTGACTTTGTTTTCGAGTAGATTCTGAATATTCAGTGATACACTTAAGCACGTGTCTTACTATAATTTATTCTTCATGAATTCATGTTTATTTCACTAATAGTTTACTTTTTTTTTTGTAATCGTTGAATTATTTCACAGAATAATAATTATATAAATATCTTACGAGGCTCATTTTTTCACTGATCATTTGAAAAGTGCAAGTAACTTTTATCTGATAAAATTGTCAGTCGAATACGAAGAACAAATTCCAACGCGAGGAACCAGTTATTGGTGTCCATTTCCCCAAACCCGAGCAAACGAATCGACGCTTGTCGACCCGGCATCGTACCAATTATCACGCATTACCTGTTCTCGAAAAGCATTCGAGAATACAGTCGAGCGAGCGGGTTCAACGAACCCGGGATGTCACGGATATCCGAGGCCAGCCGAAATAGAAGTATCGAGAATAATCCGTTGTTAAAAAGGGCCGCCGAATCTGGCCGAGCGACGGGGCGGTGGCGCCGATAAAATAGCCCGCGCAGCCTCGACTCACCGCGATGACTCGGCTGGATAATTATGTCATTTCAGGAATCCCCGGGTTCGTCGGTCGTTCGAGGACGAAACTGGAGCAACGACCTTCGAATTCGGGCCGGTCGCTCGGCCGGGGTTCGTGAACCCTGAAAAGAGCTACGCCGCGGCCCGGGATAGATAGTACAGTTACGCTCTCTTCCTCCACCTGGCTCTTCCTCTCGCCGCCGCCTTCCCACCATCCGCGTCGCCTTCGGTCCTCCTTCTTCCTCCGCTAACAATGGAAGCTCGTGCCCGAACCCGCGCGCACCCGCGCCTGGCCAAAAGGAAATACCGTATGGTCACCTCGTCACCGAGGCGAAGAGGAAATCCCTCCGGTTCGACGACCTGCTAAAGGTGACTCCGATTGTCTGGAAACCACCGAGTGGCATCGATCGGCCTCGCTGCGCGCCTCCTTTCTCTTTTATTTTCGATCGGCTCGGTTCGATACCGACTTCCGATTCCACCCAGGAAAACGAGTTTCGACCAGATGGACGCTTCACAGTTTCACTGTCCTCATGCATTCTATAATTATCAATACCTTCGACGTGATACACTTTTAACACGATGAAGTCTCTGTCTACGTAACAGTATTAGATAATTATTTTACAAACTTTTTATGTTCGAAGTAAAAAGTGGAAAAACGTAATAAATTAGTAACAAACTCATTAATTCGTGAAAGAGGGATGGAACGGAATAATAGAATGATAATAATGGGATAGAACGGGGAAAGAGCTGTTATCTAAATTACATAAAGAGGAGCACTCATGGAAAGTAGAATTCCTTTTACGTGGTAAACGTACGAGAAGAGTCGAGAAGGGTCGACGACCCGGCTGTCTGTGGTCATCGAGTGGGTAAGCAAGCGGAGCGAACACGTTGGATGGAACTTGGGAAGAGCAGAACTGGGCGGCGAGGAAGAAGACGTTCACCCGTAATGAGACGCGAAACTTCGCCAGTAGGTAGCCACCTATCCGCCGGGAAACGTGAGAAATCCTTACGCAAAGAGATAGTAGTGGTTCGAGGTAACTGGGTCGCTGATTCAGACTAGTCGGGGCCGCTCCGAGCTGATATCAACGGGTTTTAACGGGATCGTGAGTAATCGACTCGCGTCGCCAAGCTACAGTCAATTCGAATAAAAAACGTTTTAGTAAAAGCTTAGCTCTTTCATGACTCAAATGTTGTATGAAGCTATAAGATTTTTTTAATCACGATTTAAATTCCGCCAAATGTTTTTTTTTTTTTTTTATCGCTAAATAGAATTGCAATTTTTCATTGATAAATTTTAGAATCGATGTTCAGTACAATTATTTTTATTACATTGCTGAGAGTTTTCTCTGATGGTTTAATACAGTAAATAGATGAATAAATATGAATAAAAATAAGTGAACTGCTTTCACCGCTCTTGCGGCTATAAAAAAATCGACGGAGCTTTTTTTAGCCGGAATTAAAAATTTCCGTCACGGGTTTAGTCGTAGCGGCAGCAACTTTCGAAACGCGCAACGAGCGGAATGAACGATCGCGTTTTCACTCTCTTTTTTTTTCATATTTTTTTATTGCTTTCACTCTCGGCGGACGGCGGCGTCACTCTCGATGATAACGAGCCAACGGCACCGGTCGATGACGTTTTATCAGGGGAACAGTCGGCGGGTGTTGTCGCTTCGCCGAGGCTACCGCTGTCTTATCGAACGCTTAATTAAGGTTTTAATTAAAACCAACTAGGGAGACGAGAATCGATGTTTTGTTCCGTCGGCTCGCGAACACCTGCATCATCCCTCGGTTTTCTCCTTGGTTTTATGCTGTACTCTACCCTTTGTCAATCAAATAATCGCTGATGCGCTCTTACAAATAATCGATTTTAAAATTGATTAAATTAATAATTCATCAATCGAATTAATTTCTATTTTCTGTCTACAGGATTTAATCTAAATGTTGTTAAAATTCACAATAATAATATTTACTCTTATCAGCAATCGATTTTAAAATTGATTAAATTAATAATTTACTAATTGAATCTGTAAATTAATTTCTGTTTTCTATCAATAGGATTTAATCTAAATGTTGTTAAAATTCCCAATAATAATATTTGCTGTCATGAATAATCGATAATATAATTTGTTAAATCAACAATTTGTTCATTGAATGTGTAAATTCAATTCTGCGTTTCGTAACCACTTAATTTAATTTAATCCCCATGATAGTTGCGACAGAAGTGCATTTCATTCATCGAGTGGATTTTCTGTTATTCTAATGTTTAACCATTTTACATATTTGCCTTTGCAACCAATAATTAACATAAAGATGAATGTAGTGATATATAAATATACAATTCGTGCTGTAATTGTTGATGTTAAAGGGACGACGAGAGGGGATCGTGGAAAGTACCGATTTTCCTTTCTATCTCTTTTCCTTGCGGCTCCGTCGGTCGACGACCTTTTTAACCTGGTTGCGCGCGGTTTAATGACGCTTTCTTTCGTGCCGCGCTCTCATTTCGCTCTCGCGCTTTTCCATTTATATTTTCTCGCCTAACCCTTCCGTCTGCCAACCGTCGCGTCTCGTCGCTTTCAAAGGAATCTGTACCGGGTGCACGCTTAATAGCAAATAACAGCTTCTGATGAAACCGTTTCCGGGTTCACTTCGTTTCACTCCTTCCCTTAACCATTACCTCTCTTCGTTTTTAACATAAACTTGTCATGTTAAATGTTACTGAGCATTTTTACTATCTCTGACCATAATGGAATATTCTCAGGAATTACAATCTAAAGTAATAGTTGTGTCAGTGCTGATGGAATTTCTATTAAATAAAAAGAGTTCTAGTTCTCCACGTTTGCTTTTTTATCCTTTATCTCTCTCTCTCTTTAATATGCACTTGTTTGAGATATTACTGAGCATTTTTACTATTTGTAAATATTTTCTGTTGAAATAAGCAATAGTTCATGATCGGTTTCAGGAATTACGATCTAAATTACTAGCAGGTGTTCTGTGAGTGCTGGAGGAATTTTTGTTGAAAGAAAAAGTAACAGTTCTTGACACATATCAATATAGGGACGACGAGAGGGGATCGTGGAAAGTACCGATTTTCCTTTCTATCTCTTTTCCTTGCGGCTCCGTCGGTCGACGACCTTTTTAACCTGGTTGCGCGCGGTTTAATGACGCTTTCTTTCGTGCCGCGCTCTCATTTCGCTCTCGCGCTTTTCCATTTATATTTTCTCGCCTAACCCTTCCGTCTGCCAACCGTCGCGTCTCGTCGCTTTCAAAGGAATCTGTACCGGGTGCACGCTTAATAGCAAATAACAGCTTCTGATGAAACCGTTTCCGGGTTCACTTCGTTTCACTCCTTCCCTTAACCATTACCTCTCTTCGTTTTTAACATAAACTTGTCATGTTAAATGTTACTGAGCATTTTTACTATCTCTGACCATAATGGAATATTCTCAGGAATTACAATCTAAAGTAATAGTTGTGTCAGTGCTGATGGAATTTCTATTAAATAAAAAGAGTTCTAGTTCTCCACGTTTGCTTTTTTATCCTTTATCTCTCTCTCTCTTTAATATGCACTTGTTTGAGATATTACTGAGCATTTTTACTATTTGTAAATATTTTCTGTTGAAATAAGCAATAGTTCATGATCGGTTTCAGGAATTACGATCTAAATTACTAGCAGGTGTTCTGTGAGTGCTGGAGGAATTTTTGTTGAAAGAAAAAGTAACAGTTCTTGACACATATCAATATGAAAGTGTAACGGGAGCAGAGGCGTAGGAACGCGAGCGTATCGCGATACGAGTGCGTGGAAAATCGATCGGCCGATAATCCAACGATAGAATGACCTCGTTCGAAACACCAGTTACTGCCCTCCGTTCTCTGCGTGGCTAAATATTTGATCTAACAGGGCCGTGATAACCCTTATCGCGGTTCACACGACAAGCGGACTGGGTAAACTCGCGATCATAGTTTCGCATTTCATATGCGAGCCTTGAAAAATTCTTACAATTAATACGAATATCGATATTGAATCTACAGCTATTTTAATTTAGAATCCTGATTTGAATAAATTATCTTCCAACTGCATTTCAGTGGAAATAAATGATAAATAAATAAAGAAAATCTCGATTGTAATCCTTTTGAAAATAGGAAATATATAATTTGAACAGAGCCACTTTTAAATCTCACGGATTTGTGTAAGAATGTAAATGTTGTTAAATCCGTGACGAAAACGAATCCGTCCATCGATCAGAGTCCCTCACTGGAATGACTAAAGGATCAACGCCCCCGGGGCTAAGCTATAAAAAAATCGTCCTTTCGTCGACCCCGTCAGGAATACGTCTCCCTCTAATCATTGCGAGGCGATGCGCGAGAACTGTCCCCCGCGAAACTCAATAAAATCGAGAGTTTACGGTCCGTAAAACCTAATGGACGGAGGAGGAAAGTGGAAACGGGAGTGTGCGCGTTTCAATCTGGATACCGTCGTCCGTTTTATTCGCGGGGATTGCCAGACAATACGTTTCAGGAGGCCGCGATGAGTCGGCCCGCCAAACTTTTATTCGAACGAAGCACCGAAATTCGAAAACATTTTCATTCAAATCCTTTTCTTACACAAACATTATCATTCCTTATTCTAATTACTTTGTGAGACAATTTAATATTGTTTAACTACTGCTATTTTAAGAATGTATTGGTTATACAGTCAATCCCAAAAGTTTATGTACCTTAGAAAAACGCATTTCCTATAATTAAAAAGAAATCAGACGTCGGAAGAATAATGCTAATAATAAATAGCTACGTGCTAAAAAGTATAGAA